TTTAATAAGTGCTCAAATAATATGAAAAAAAAAATTTAGTAAGATTCTCATCTAATATGGGACGGAGAGAATAACAATATAACTTTGTTAATGTTGGGCCCGGGCAGTGCCCGGGCTTTCGTTACTAGTCTAAATATAAATGTCAAAATTTTAAATTGATAAAAGTAGATAAACAAGAGATTCAAACAAAATAAAATTAAGAAAATTACGGTATGTTTGTATAAATATTCAACTCATCTTAATTTAAATATAAATGGCGGAGAATTTTAAATTGATAAAAGTAGATAAACAAGAGACTCGAACAAAATAAAATTAAGAAAATCGTGGTATATATGTTTGTATAAATATTCAACTCATCTTAATCTAAATATAAATGCCGAAGAATTTTAAATTGATAAAAATAGATAAACAAATGACTCGAACAAAATAAAACTATGAAAATTGTGGTATATTTATATAAATATTCAACTCATCTTAATCAAAATATAACCACCTAAGAATTCTAAATTGAATTGAACATTATGGAGGGTCAAAATTTGTTAATCGAATAAATAGTAGACTCGCACGTTTAATTTAATTTCACTCTAGAACTTCTTAATAAACTAAAAAATAACTCAAGAAGTACTCACATATTTTATTAGGAAAATACACAAGAATCGCATTTTTAATTGAAAAAAAAATCTCACGTTACAAGCAAAAATGAAATGTCAATGGACAAATCTTGTCTTACTACTAAATAAAATAATACAAGTAAAACCAACATTTTTAATACGAAAATCACACCGTTCTAGCAAAAAAATAAATAAAATTTTATACATGAGATAAGTATTTAATTTTGATTGAGTACCCTATTCTAATTTCAAAATGTTATCTATACAAATACTTATTATTCTCACAAGCATGATAAGATTAAATTAAAGATTGAGGTCTTTTTCGTAAATTGGCTTGAATCCATCATTATAAAAATAATCAAACTGAAGAATTCACTTGGATAAATATAAAAGAAATAGATAAACAGTAAAAATTTTAAAAAATTATGCTATCTCTATATGAATATTCATTTCATCTTAATCTAAATGTGAGAGAGTTCTAAATTGAATTGGACACTAAGGAGGGTCAAATTCTTAATGATCTAATAAACTATAGATTCACACGTTTAAATTTAATTTGATCTCATTCTAGTTCCTTAATGAACTAGGAAAATCACAAATTTGATTAAGAACTCAAGAACCAAAACTTTCTTATTTTGGATGTTTTAAACTACTCCTTTCGTCCACAATTAATTGTCATGGTTTCCTTTTTTAGAGTCAAACAATAAGAACTTTGACCAACATTTTACGATGTATATTTTCATCATATTGATATGCAAAAAATTGCAACTTATAGTACTTTTCGTATAGTTTTTGAATATCTAATTTTTTTTAAAAAAATATCGAATTAACGTAATCTAATTTAACTTTAAAAATTAGTCAAATTGACTTTCGAAAAGCGCAACATGACAAATAAAAGTGGACAGACATGGTTTCCTTTTTTAGAGTCAAACAATAAGAACTTTGACCAACATTTTACGATGTATATTTTCATCATATTGATATGCAAAAAATTGCAACTTATAGTACTTTTCGTATAGTTTTTGAATATCTAATTTTTTTTAAAAAAATATCGAATTAACGTAATCTAATTTAACTTTAAAAATTAGTCAAATTGACTTTCGAAAAGCGCAATATGACAAATAAAAGTGGACAAAGGGAGTAGGAAACTGACCATGTGAGTTTCAAATAGTTTTGGACACACTTGAACCAACTAGGACCTTTATATCTTCCATCAATTACTATCTCTATCCCTATTTATATCTATACCTATCTCTATCTTTATCTACTGATGAAGTCAGAAATTTCGTTGAGGATATCTAAGATTTAATATATAGGTAAGAAAAATAATTTTTGACTTATATATTTCATATGATTTTCTATTTTCTATTTACACAGTATATTATTTCGATGAAGGGTGTCCAATTGATCAACGCCACTATCTCTATTTATCTATTTATATCTTTTATCCTATATTAAAAGTACAAAAGTTCTTAAGAATGTTGATTAAATTTTTTATCTCCATTAAAAGATTAAAAGATTTTATAGTAGACAAAATTGTAATTTGTTATTTTCCTCAAATAAGTATTATTTAATTATTATCCTAATATTTAAGACTTTGAAATCAATTAATGTTATAGCTATTAATCTTTTTTGAAATAGGTTTAGAACTCCTAGTATTTCATATTTTGAATTATGTTAAAACTTAAAAGTCCGAACTTTAAGACTTTAATTTCAATATTTTAAACTTATATAAATATTAATTTAATTCTGGTAGACAAAATAAATAATGAAATAAAAATAGAATAAAGATGTTTATATTTTTTCAAATAAATTTTTAACTTTTCTATATGATATTATTGTTATTTAGATAGGTATATTATTTGTTTTAATGTCAATTTGTTTTATTGATTAACCCGTGCAAAGCACGAGACTAATTTGATTACCCAAAAATAGAGAATGTGATGGGAGACGCTATTCGAAAACTGATTGGTCAATATGAGATGAGTTCATCGATTTAGACTATAGAATAATGTTAAATGGCCAGAAAATTTAGCCAGAATTTGATTAGAAATTTATAAAATCTATAATATCTTTTTTATTTTAAAATAAATTAATCTTTTTTTTCATGTTTAATTAAAAGGTATTAAAGTTAAAAGGGTAAAAATGTTCAAAAAGGTAAAATACCATTCTGGCCAAATTTTCTGGCTAAAAGGAGTTTTTCTAAACTATATATATTCTTTTAACAATGATAGAGGCAATTGATAACTTAAATATCTGCACTGTTAATATTTAAACAGTAAAAAATAAAAAATGCCTTTAAATTATATAAAAAAAATAAAAATATTTTTTATTTATAATTTGATTTTAAAATGGCTTTACTGTTGATAGTCTGTTGCCAGCATATCCCTATTAATACTAAATGGGTCAAAAAGACCATATTTTCGAATAAATATTTTTTTTAAACACAATTTGTTCCTACTAAATATATTACTTTTAAAAACTCTATTCTTGTTTTATTTGTTTTAAAACCACTTTAACTAATAAAAATATAGAAAATATATTTTTCTTCTTCATAATCTCATTTTATCAATTAAAATTGAATAAAGTATACTTTTTTAACGGATAATATATATCGTATATGTAAGATCGTATTAGTAAATATATCATCAATTTTATTTAGATAACGATAAAAAATAATTATAAAATAAGAAAAAATTTATTTTCTTATTTTTGAATTGAAGTAGGACAAAATTAACATTTGTTGATAAAAAAATATTACTATTAGATAAAGAATGTGTTCAAAAAGAACATAAATAATATATTTATTTGAAAAAAGGCATTTTAATGAATTAAGCTAAGTAACAATAAGAGCTTTTTGTGGATCAAAATATTGACAGCAAAAATATTTTTGAACCAAATTATAAATGGAGGACATTTTGTTCATTTCACTTAGTTTAAGAACATCTTTGACCCTTTTGCGATATTTAAATAACGCAAGTATCCTAAACGAACCGGATTCATTTTCCACATTTTTGTTTCTTTGTAGGAACTTCAGTATACAAATTAAATGTAGATACATATATAATAATTGTAAAGAAGACATGGTGGGGCATTTGGTCGCTAAAGGACCCCGACAAAAGGAAAAATTGTTTTCGTAAAAGAAATGTTGTAATTAATAAAAAATATTTTCTAATATGTTTTCTTCTTAGTATATATGTGAGGTGATAATATATATATATTGATATAAGATAGGAGTAGTAATTTAGACAAGTCGATGGTAATATTAATGACATCTTAGACAACATTCGTATTATAACATTGTGTTTAATACGTATTCCGAATACAAGAGAAATCACATTAGGTTGAACTGTTCAATTAGTATATGTATCTATACATATTTTATCGGAAAAAGTAAATTTTATCCAACAATTTTTATAACACAACTTTAACATGATATTAGAATAGACAAAAAGTCCATCATAACTCCTTTCTTCTTAAGAATACATTTGTATATTATTAGACAACTATCTATCGAGCATAAGTTATCAAGAACTATACTATCACCCTTTTCATCCTAGTATAAGATAGGTATGTCAACCACATATTCGAGTTATTTTTTTCTTGATTTGAAATAGGAGCAAATTTTTAAAAAAGGACCTCATATAGACCTTCTGAAATCGAGTCACATTGTCATATGGTATAAAAAAATAGTGTGTTAATAACATAATTAAATAAATAAAATTATGTTAGTGAAAGGAATTAGTTCAAACTTAAAATGGAAAGCGAGCTATATAACTAGGGCCTAGGCAGTTGTATTTATTTTAATGTAAGAAAAGTCGGTTGAGCGGTGAAACTAATTTTGGTTCACTTAAATTGTCATATGTAGAAACTGATCAAAACAGTAGAAATTTTGTTGGGAGCTAAGAAAAGAAATTGATCACGTTAGTCAAAGTGCAACAACAATTACACGTGTATTCCGTGTATTCTCACAAGTAGAGTCTGAAAAAAAATAGAATACACATTTCTTATTTCTATTTTTATGAGATAGAAAAATTATTTTCGATAGATCATCAGCTCAAAAAAGAATAGGAATATGTATACAAATCTTAATTGTATCTTCGTGAGAAAGAAAGTGTTTCTAATAGACCATCAATTCAAATAAAGAATAAAATGCATGTGGACCTTATTTTTACGTTTGTAAATATAAGAATTGTTTCATGTGGACCGTCGACTTATAGGAGGATAGGATGTACGTAGATCAAACTTAGTCAAAAGTAATAATGAGAATTCCATCCACCATAGAAGACTATTGTCCATTGGGATATATTTATTTTTTCTTTTGCACCCTTAGTCTTATTATAAATATATGCCACATTATATTGCAATTTGCAAATATACCTACTCAAAATAACTCATCCTCCTTCTTCTCTCTCAAGTTCTTCCTCACTCTTCATTCTTCTTCTTCTTCTCATACATAAAATGTTAAAAATGTTGTCCAAAATGGCTATGTGCAAATCCCATGGGCAAGATTCTTCTTATTTTATTGGATGGCAAGAATATGAGAAAAACCCTTATGATCCTTTACAAAATCCTTCTGGTATTATTCAAATGGGTCTAGCTGAAAATCAGGTACCAAATTAATACTACTATATATCTACACACTAAACTCAATTACTTAAAAACACGAGTTTAAGTTATATACATGATCATACATCGTTACGTTATACTATGGGTGGTGTGATTATGAATTATATATGCATGATAAATGATATATCATGAGAAAAGAAAAAAATGATAATTGTAATGTAATTGATTGATGATTGAATAAAGTTAATAATGATGTATAGTTTAATTTGGTGTCATGACAAATTATGTGCTACATTTGCTAAATACTATGTCTTGTTTTCAAAAAAGTTGGCTTTATTGCTTCAGGTGATATTGACAAAAGACCAACCAAAAAGTGTTTGATTGATCCTCATGTATCTGAATCAGCATGCACAATTTTTTTGTTGTTGTTTCTAGCTATATAATAAATATATATTTGCTTTTAGTAAACATATATATAATATAATGAGTATATATTTTTTTTCTTTGAGGCTCTAATTAATTTTTAATTAATGAAACAGCTCTCTTTCGATCTTCTTGAATCATGGCTCGCAAGGAACCAAGATGTAATTCAGTTTAGAGAAAATGGAGGATCCATGTTTAGAGACTTGGCTCTTTTTCAAGATTATCATGGATTGCAAGCTTTCAAGAATGTAATTTAATTTCTTCCTTTTCTCTTTTCTTTCGAATTGAGCGTCTGTCTGAAATAATTAACAAACCTCTCTACCCTATAAAAGGTAGGGATGACGTTTGTATACATTATACCCTCTCTGAACCCCACTTGTGAGATCATACTGGTATATTATTGGTGTTATATGAAAATATGTTGTTTTAAGCTACATTTTATTTTGCAGGTACTAGTGTCATTCATGGCTGAGATTAGAAGAAAGAAAGTAAAATTTGATCCCAAGAATTTAGTACTGACAGCTGGTTCAACTTCAGCAAATGAAATACTCATTTTTTGTTTAGCTGAACCTGGAGAAGCTCTCCTTATTCCAACTCCTTATTATCCAGGGTAACATCAATTACTACTCTTTCATCACTTAGATAATATTCTCCGGTCCCAATTTACATGACACAATTGAAATTTTGAAAATTAATCAAGTTTTTCTTTTATTAGAATTTCTTTATTTCAAAATGTTAATTATTGCGGTTTGTAGTACTTTTACGTAGTTTTCAAATATTTAAATTTTTATTACTTCATCAAAATTTAGGAGTTTGAATCTCGAATATCATCAGTACCATATAAATTGGGACAAGAAGTAAATTAACAACGGATTTAAGTTAATACACACAAATAACAATTAGATTGTTTTTTTTTTTTTTTTACCATCAATGTTTCTTAAAATGTTGTAATAATTTTTATTTACCATATTCTAGATTTTAAAATAAATATGCTACTCTTTCTATTTCAATTTGTTTGTTTAGTCTGTTTTAGAAAAAAAAAAATCTTTACTTTTTATGGGACTCTTTCATTCTAAATTTCTACATAACATGTTAAGACCATAAAATTAAAGAACATTTTGATTAACATATTTTTAGTTTAAAATTACAAGATTCAAAAGTTTTTTTACTTCTAAAACTCCGAGATAAATCCAACCAAACAAAATGAAACGAAGGGAATAGTACTTTTATAAAAATAATTATCTGAATAATTATACAAATATCTAAACCATTATTCTGATTTTTGTTTTTTTCTCACGACAGGTTTGATAGAGATCTTAAATGGAGAACAGGGGCTGAAATTGTACCAATACACTGCTACAGTTCAAATAATTTCCGAATTACCGAATCAGCCCTTGAAGAAGCATATGAACAAGCCCAAAAACGTAATTTAACAGTCAAGGCAGTATTCATCACAAATCCTTCAAATCCACTAGGCACAACAATGTCACGCAACGAACTAAACATTCTAATCACATTTGCCATGACAAAAAATATTCACATAGTTAGCGACGAAATATACGCTGGTACAGTATTCGATTCTCCAAAATTCATAAGCATAATGGAGGCATTAATCGATAGGAAACTCGAAAAATCGAAAATGTGGAACCAAGTTCACATTGTATCGAGTCTATCGAAGGATCTCGGCCTTCCAGGTTTCAGAGTTGGGATGATTTATTCGAACAACGAAACTCTCATAGCTGCTGCTACAAAAATGTCGAGTTTTGGGCTAATTTCATCGCAAACTCAGTATCTATTGTCTAAAATTCTCGGAGATAGGAGATTTATAAAACGTTACATTAAAGAAAATAAGAAGCAATTGATACATAGGAGGGAAATGCTCGCTTCAGGGCTCGCAAATTCGGGGATTGAATGTTTGGAAAGTAACGCTGGATTGTTCTGTTTTGTGGATATGAGGGATTTGCTAAAATCAAACACGTTTGAAGCAGAAATGGAATTATGGAAGAAAATAATTAGTAATGTTGGTTTAAATGTATCTCCTGGTTCCTCTTGTCACTGCAGCGAACCGGGTTGGTTCAGAGTTTGTTTCGCGAATATGTCAAAAGAAACACTAGACCTCGCGATGCAGAGGATTAATAATTTTGTTAATTCTGACAGAGATATCCGTCAGAATCTTCGTCAGCAGCCGCCACGATCTGTGAGGGCTGCTGGCTCAAGGAGGAGAAGAACAATTGCGAATTGGGTTGTTAAATTATCATCAGGTGATGGAAGAACAGATCGTTGAAAGGGAAATTGAAGATATATTAATTCTATTATTGTTGTGTTTGATGTAATTTGAAAGTTGTAGTATAGCTAGGGAGCATATATGTATTTATTAGTATTATATTATTGTGTAGAGTTATGTGATGTTTCAGATATGGTCAGCCTACATGGTAGCTTTCATGTTTTATGTCCATTTTCAAATATTATAACACGTTGCTTCATATCGCAATCACTAGGAAATATGGGACAAAGAAATTAAACAAATCAGAGGGAGTTGTTGAGATTGTGACACTAATTGAATAAATTTATTTGCATCAGGATTTGGACTATAAGTCTAGTTAAAATGTTTTGCTTTGATTTTTGACTTTTATGATAAAGTTGTCTATTTGGTGTAAGTACTGAACACATGAATAAAATGTTGTTAACATAAGAGTTTGGTCCACAAGTAAGCAATGAAGCAAGTATAAGGTTGTAAGTTAGATGTCAAATTTAATTCTTACTACATTCATTCACTCTTTTAGAGTCAAGTTATATGAATTTTGATCAATATTTTATGATATATATTAAAATTCAGAAAATAAATATAAAAAAGAGTCGAACATGAAATCTAACCCTTCTGCGAATGCCGAAATTGGTTTTGTGTTCCGTTCATGGAGATATAGCATTGAGATAGAGTCCATAAAGGGAAGGGCGAACTGCGTAAAGAGAAAGGGCAGAAGGGGCCCTCTCTAGGAGTTAGAATTCAAAATTAAAGAAGACGGTCACTCTACTACTAAATACTACATTTAGACTTCTTCTGTTGGTCCCTTTAGGCATGATGATATGGTCTCTTTAGCTGCAAGGATGGTAGCCCGGGGGAAGCTAGTCTATCAAAAGGCAATTCTTGAGCAAGTGAGATTATATACGGGTTGAAATTAAATCTGTTCAATTCTTGAAACTTTGGTATTCTAAAATTTAAGTTGCGAATAGTCCAAACATCAGGTGAAACTATATATTTTAAAATCAACGAAAAAATAGAAAGAACATAAAAGCTTAAAGAACAATGTACTTCATCTGTGGCACATTAGTGATCACATTCAATTAATTTACTACTCATTTATTTATTTACGTAATTATCCACACGTAAGTTAAGTAAGCTTATAATGTAATTAGATAAAAAAGCACTAATGTTATCATAGAGAAAATAGAAGTATACATTTCTTGCACGTAGTCTCACTTTTTGGTAATAATAGAATTGGAAAGCAATAATAATTGGTTAGTTAAATCAACATGTTCTTTCATTTTTGATGAATTTGGAGAATTCATCATGAATATTGAAATGCATCAATAAGGAATGATCATCTTAGTGTCCAAAAAAGGAGGAGCAGGGTGGGTTAGCAAAAGAATATTCTGAATATAATTAGATAATAAAAATGTATTTTTTTAACGGTTTAAATTTTTAGATGAAATGATCGTACACTTTAACATGACATCAGAGTAGGCAAAGAGTCTGAAATAGAATTTCATCGTCACCCATATCAAAAAGATTTTTTACATGCTTGACTCATGAAAAAAAATCAGGCCCATACATGAGAGAGCATGTTATGTACTTTCTCTAACATCTTAAGTTTTTAGCCACTCATATCAAAAAGAATTTCCACATGCTTGTTCATGAAAAAAATCAGGCTCATACGTGTGAAAGCGTGTTATATGCTCTTTATAACAATTTAAACTTTTAGATGATATGATCACACTTCAACAAATAAATAGGTAGATTTTTCATAAGTTAATATCAATGGTCACTTAACTACAAGTTTCTATAATAAAAAATACTTAACTATATCCGTATCAACTTAAAAGTTAAGTATCTTTTTTTTCATTACATAAAATTACTCTTTTTGTCTGCCTTCACTTATTTATGTTTGACTTGATACTCATATCCTCAAGAAACAATAAATCCAAAAATTAGGGAATGAATAATATTTAATACTAATAAAGATAAAATAGAAACAAAATAATATATTATTTCTTAATTTTTCAAACAAAATAAGTCTTTCACAACTATTTTTAGTATACGAAACAAGTAAAAATAAATGAATGGAGTATTACTTAACTATATCCATATCCATATCCATATCCATATCCATATATCTCAGATTATGCATTAGGTACAACACGGTGATGCAGCGGTTCAATCAGTGGCGGAGGGAGGATTTTCATCAAGGGGGTTCAAAAAAAATTAATCACGTAAATAATATCCACAAATAGACGGGTCGAATCGGATATAAACGGGTCGGATTAAACGGTCGAATCAAGAAGAAACGGATTTTTTAATATTTGACTTTATAATTAGGGATTAAACTAATAAATCCTAAATTCCCAATCAGCGTTTTAATTTTTTGGAACTAAACATCATTTTATGATTGCATTATTATTTATTTTAAAAAAATAAAACGCCTGAAATAAGCTGATAAAACAAAATACCTCTGCCCGGATTCGAACACGCGACCTCACGTGCAGTAGAGCAAATTCCTGAACCCCCAACGCCACTGAGCTACGCCTTTGGTGTATGTTCAGGGGGTTCAATAGTATATATATACACATATATTCAAAATTTAATCTTATATATATAGTGTAATTTTTCGACGAAGGGGGTTCGGATGAACCCCCTTCATTGAACGTAGATCCGCCCCTGGGTTCAATACGCATGAAAACTGATACAAAAAAAACCGGGATATTGACAGTTAAGAGCGGTTCCATTCCGTTTACACTTTCCTCATTTCTCTAAATCCACGTGGCAAATTATTTATTGGCCCCACAGAATCTCACTTCTTTATAATCCACGCACACACGCACACTCGCAATCGACGCGCCTTTCTTCTCTCTCGCACTGTTTTTCCTTGTTACCGAAAAATTAGAGCCTTTTCTCTCGTCTCCCAAATCCTAACGCAAAATAAAAAAAACGGAAGAACAATTTTTCTAGGGTTTCTTCTGGTTTGAAGCAATCACTTTTTTTGTTGCTTTAAACATTCATCGATTTTTTCATTTTTTTAAAATTTGCGTTCGGATTCGTTATTTCGTCATTCTGAAATAGGAAGCGGTTTCAATTTCAGGTGATTGTTCTCTTTTTACTATATTTTTTTGGTAATTTTTCCTGTTTTTTCTTATTGTTCGTCGAATTTCGTTCTGGAATTGTCTTCTTCGGTAACGTTTTGATTTACTTTTATTAATTATTGAGTTTTGAGAAGTAACGGACGCAATGTGTATGGTATTTTTGCTGTTTCATGATATCTTATTGCCTCTGAATTGATCTCCAAGGAAATAGATGTAAAATTTTGCAATTTCAGAAACTGAATAGTGTGAAGAACATGGATGTGAGCGTTACATTAACTGTAAATTATTTATTTTGTTTTTACTTGATTTTGGTTTTGCATGTTATGTATGCTCGGAATAGCGAATTGTCACTGGATTATATTGACTTGATTATACACTTTAGTATGCTAAGTTGCGTAGTGTGGATCAGAGATATTTGAAATGAGCATGCTTGTAAGGCTGAAGTTTTCCTATGTTATATTTGTTTTGTTTATTTGATTGTTCTTTTTTGTGTGTCTAATTGTAGAATTTCTCAGCTGTTTATAACCAGATAAGTAGTTGTTTATAATGTGCAAACCATAAATCCTTCACTGTGCTTTTACTTTGCAGTTTCTTAACCTTAATGCTCCAAACTTGCTGCCGCATCTTAGATCTTCTCATGCTTCTGCATCAAGCAAGATCTTTTCAATATTTAAACGAAGTCAGAGGCATTGACATGTCTTAATTTTTGAGGTTTCTGAAATATTTGGGGACGGAGATGAAGCTAGCTGCTCTGTTGACTTCTGCTGGTATCAATACTGCAGTGAGCGTAGTGCTGTTCTCCTTGTATTCGGTTTTAAGGAAACAACCAAGCTTTGTAAATGTTTACTTTGGTGCGAAGATTGCTCAGGTAAGATCAAGACAACAGGATGCCTTTCGGTTTGATCGATTTGTTCCTTCTCCAAGTTGGATCCTAAAGGCATGGGAGACATCTGATGAAGAAATATGCGCTACTGGTGGCTTGGATGCAGTGGTATTCGTGCGGATGATTGTTTTCAGGTGAAATTGGAATGCCTTTGTTAGTTGTTAGATTTTCTAGTGTTTAAGAAAAAGTCAATTAACTCCTGATAATCTGATATAATTTAAATGAGTTAATCTAAATATTTCTATCAAACTTGTTTCTGTTTCGAGTATTTTCATCATTTGCTAGGAAAAATTCAGCAAGCATACAATTTAAAGTAAAGGAGCTCGCATATTTTTGCATGGTCGATTAGTATATATTGCATAAATCCATATTTTTGTATTGTCTAGTTTGAAGTTGTTTACCTATTGCCAAAATAGTAGTCATGGCTTATTGCCTTACTGTCATACTGTCATTGCCCTGTCATTATTCCCTTAAAAGGATGCATGATTGAATTACATTGGTTAAACTTTCTGTTGAATATTTAGCTGTATGGTTTGTCTTGTAAGGATGTACAGAAGCTGTGAGATGAGAAGGTAGTACAATAATTTGGCCAATATTGGGGTTTTGGGGAGCATAGTAAAAGAAGATTTAACAAAAAAAAAAGGGAATCTGTCCTCTGATAATTTATGATGGTTTAACCAACTGCAATGGTGATATATATATATATATATATATTTATATTATGTTCTGTGTAAGTGATTTTGGTGTTTTTCCTGGTGATAGTGGATCTGTGTAGCTTGTGTAAAGTGAGTCATGCATAGTGTGCTATTGTGAGAATGTTGTGACCAAAGAAGCTTAGTTATACTTTTTGTGAATTTATCAATCAAATACTACCTATAATAGTGTTACACTTTTTGTCTCATTGCCTGTGGAAGTCGTTTTAAATGTTACTTAGAAAGTATGGTTAAACATTTATACCTCTGCTTAGTACTTTGTTGTTCAACCTCATTTTCTTGATAATTCTCTTAACCTTCAGACTTTATATCACTTCCAATGGTGCAGTTGTGAAGTTCAGTTTGAAGAACAATCTTTCTATTGCACTTTGTTATGTCTATGAACCATTACTCTATTGCAGTAAACTTACTCTCCTGCTGCTCATTGTGGACAGTTTCCGAATATTCTCCATTGCAGCCATTGTATGCAATTTTCTTGTGCTCCCACTTAATTATTTTGGAAAAGAGATGCAGCGTCACCAGATTCCAGCTGAGACATTGGAGGTATTCACCATTGCGAATGTTGAGGAAGGGTCCAGATGGTATGAAATGCATACAAAATTGCTGATAATGATTTAAATGCAGTTGATTAGTCTTTTCTCTTCTCAATAGACATACTTAGATGCATATCGCAAGAGGATTTTTTTTCTCACATTTTGAAAATAGAAGGAGGAACTAAAAGCTTCTATTTGTTGTTTCTTGGAAGTGTCTGCAAGTCTTCCAATGCATTTTTCTGTCTTGTTTGATTTTTGAGACCCTTTTAAGTCCTGAATTACCTTCTCAAGAAAAAGTAATCCTGAAGTTAATTTTACTGAGAATAGAGAAAGTATTATTACTAAAGAGACTGTGTGTTGTAAGTTGACCAAGGAAGCATATGTAGAACAGTAGAAGGTAGTTTCCTAAGAAAAAGGTAGTTTTCTAATCTGTTGCTCCATTTTAATCTGATTCAGTTTCACCTACATATTCCTTTCATCTACTTCAGGCTTTGGGCTCACTGCCTTGCGTTGTACCTCGTATCCTGCTGTGCTTGTTTTCTTCTATACCTTGTAAGAAATCACAACTAATTTCCATTTGCTACTTTTTCTTTAAAAATGTATGTATTTCATACGCGATCCTTAGTATGTGGTAGTATGTATGTTATGTCTGTTCTTTTTTCATAAAAGGTCTTCACTTGCTTTTAGGAGTACAAAAGCATTTCAAGGATGAGGCTGGCTTACTTTACTTCATCTGTTTCCAACCCAAGTTATTTCACAGTTCTTGTTCGTGCCATCCCATGGTCGCGAGAAGAATCATACAGTGGAACAGTGGCAAGATTCTTCACAAATTTCTATGCATCAAGCTTTTTATCTCATCAAATCGTTTATCGATCTGGCTCTGTTCAGAAACTGGTGGTGGGTTTTAACTCCTTTTTGGTAGTCTCATTATGGAAATATTTCTCTTGATCTCAAAGCTTGATGTGTCTTTAAAGTTTCTCTTCTATAACACATCTATTATCCTCTTCTGGCTCCAATTAAATATAAATATGAGCTGAAATTTTTGACTTTGTATGATGGGATGTTCTATAAGTTTCTTCGTATTTTGTGAGGCCATAATGGTGAGAAAGTGATTTCGAGTTGTTTGTAGCCGGCGCTATGTATTATTTTGCTATAGATGTTTGTCAAAAAATTAGGTCAAAGACTTTTAAGTCGTTTTTTCTTGTAGCATCCATGAGATATAAAAGCTCAAAAGGTAAATGGTATTGAAACTGCATGATATGGTAAAATTTAACTGCAAAATGGAGTTGGTTGGTTTTGATGCTGGCAATATGTTTTCCACATTGGAATCGAGTGATTCTCCTTAGAAATATGAGAGAGTTTTCTTCATGGTAGACATAAGGTGTCTGAAGCTTCAGGAATATTATCTAAATAAATTTTGCTCTTGAATAATACGCTCTCTGCCATTTTTGTCAGGATCAAGGATTTTTTTTAATTGTAATGCCAACTCCTATGAGTTTCCATGGCCATAGCCCCTAGTTAAAAAACTACAATTCGAGTAATAGCACACCCCAGAGTCCCTCTATCTTCTGCTAGTTTTTCCTCATAAAGCATATATATGTCAGCTAAACAAAAGTAGTTATCTTCTGCTTGAACTAGTGGTTTGACATTATTCTCCCTTGTGCTCCTTTTTCTTTCTTCTGGTTGTTAATATGCCACATGTTGCATGACTGCAGACTGATGCAGGGAAGGTGTGCAAGATGCTAAAACTGACGCCTAGGGAACTACATATTGGATCAAATTCCATGAGATGTGGTCTTTGTGGAACAACAGCATCGTTCAGCATGCTTCCCATGGATGCGGAAGGTGACAAAGGAAGAAGTGATTTTGGCGGTTCAGATTTGAGGAAAAAGGTATTTGAGTGATTCTTATTATTTTCATCTGTTCTTGCAGCTAGGCAGATTTCATATGATTGCCATGACTTCCACTGAGGGTTAGATTTAAGCCATAGCATCTACAGAGAGAGTTTCCAAGTCAATACACCATAGGTGGAACATTACCTTCTTGAAACTATGTTTGGGTTCATTTTAGGCTTGACATGTGCTGAACTATTAACTTCTGAGTTCTCATGCTTGGTAAAGGTTACTTCAATGCACAGCTCTAAGTTTGGTTAATCTTCAACAGAAGGAAACAGCACTAAGTTGCACTTGTTCCTGATTTAACTAAATAGATTACAGTGTCATATACTTCATATTGCTTTTGGTGTGCTCGACTCTTTTGTCTTGAAAATTTTGAATTAGCTTCATTTTTCATGAGGCTAGACAAAATAAGAAGTGAAATGAATACACAATATTTTCTTGCAGGAGTCTGCAGCTGCTTTAGTTTTTTTCAGGACTCGCTATGCTGCTTTGGTTGCTTCTCAGAGCCTTCAATCTCGAAATCCTATGTCATGGGTCACAAATCTTTCTCCAGAACCAGGTGATATGTATTGGTCAAACATTTGTGTCCCATATAGACTCCTTTGGATACGCAAAGTAGCTATTCTTGTGGCCTCGATGGCTTTGGTGGCATTTTTCATTGTGCCTGTTTCATTAACACAAGGTCTTGTTCACCTCGACAAGCTTCAAAAGACATTTCCATTTCTTAAAGGAGTTTTAAAGAGGTAATCCCGTCACTGCCTATTTGTAAAATTGCAACTCTAATTTTTTAAGTTTTAAATTTACATTGGAAATCTATTTTTGAAAGGAGTACAGTTATTGATCATTCTCTCTCACACACACAGAGCATGAGGAAATAAAGTTATGTTTCTTGATTCAAGGTTGACTTTTTTTTTACAATGATTTACCAGCTTCCTCTATGCACTGTTTTCATTCTGCTACTAACTTCAATGCTTCTCTTTCATTCTATGTATTAACCTTAACTCGTCAGCCTAGATATAGATAATAATACTACCAATTTATGAAGTCTGAGCTATATCCATGGGCAATATGGCTATCTTTTATCCCTTTTTTTCTTGCAGAAAAGCAATGAGTCAGCTGGCTACGGGATATCTACCAAGTGTCGTGTTAATAATATTTATGTACATGGTTCCTCCAATAATGTTGCTATTTTCTACATTGGAAGGCTCTACCTCTCGTAGTGGTAGGAAGAGGAGTGCAAGCATAAAAGTTTTGTGCTTCTTCATCTGGAATGTTTTCTTTGGTAACATCCTCTCGGGCTCTGTGATTGAGAGGTTCAGTAAGATTTTTAAGGATGTAAATTACCTACTTGCAACAGCAGTACCATCAACGGTAACCTTCGTCCTCTATGTGCATATAGATGTGTGTTTACCTGCTTTCCCTTTGCGCTAACTATTATCCTCAATCCTCAAATATTAAACTGACAAATATTTGATTTAAGGAATTCATCATGTTCTATTAATTCTTCCTTAGAGAAAACAACAATGCTAATACTAGGTTTATTTTTAGCCTTTTTATTGGGTTGATGGATGCTAGAGGGCTAGTCTTCTGAAGTGTAGTTATGATTCATGTATGTGGTTGGAAAAACTCATTTTTCAGTTGGAAAACATTTTATTCAAGATTAATAGGGTGAGAAGGAAAAAGATGGAAAGGTACTAGTACTTCGTGGAAAGTACATGTCCCCTTTCCTACATCATTAGACATGATTAAGGACAGAAACTTCCACTAGTCCAACTTGTGATGAGAATCTAAGAGGAAGTTAAACAAACACTGCAGCTAGTAATGTGTCATCACTGCCTCTTAGCTGTCCAATTAGGAAGCGGGAGACCCTGGAAAACTACACTTACGTTCTCTTTATACCTTCTGTTTAAATTTCCTTATTGAGTACTTTTCCTACACAAGGAGCTTCCCTGTTTTGATCCCTTCACCTTCACCTTGCAACTTGAAGAATTCACCAAGTGTGTGATGATTAATTAAATTTTTTTCTGCAGGCCACCTTTTTTATGACTTATGTTTTGACATCAGGCTGGGCAAGTCTATCATGTGAACTCATGCAACCATTTGGTTTACTCTGCAACTTATTCTATATATTTATTCTCAGAAACAAGGATGTCACTACATATGGCACATTGACTTTTCCATACCACACAGAAGTTCCGAGGATCCTTCTATTTGGGCTTTTTGGCTTTGTGTATTCCACATTGTCTCCTTTGATACTGCCATTCTTGCTGGTTTATTTTTCCCTTGCTTACCTTGTATACCGTAATCAGGTAAACATCCCCTTCTGAATTATTCCATCTATACTCTTAATCTTATTTTATGTTCCAATTTTGTTTTATTTAACATATGAAATGTATTGGTTAAGGATCTTGAAAAACATCAGTAGTTTCTTGAGCCAATAATAAGAAAAATGGAAAATCAAGATGTGTCTGGATTTTGTAAGGGTAGATTATTGAAGATACCTGTTCTTGCCTTTATATTTTGAAATTCAATGAGCTTCTTGCTTCTCGCCTCTAAATTGCTTGCATTTCTCATTTGTCTGAAATCGATGAAAAATGATACCTCTGGAGATGTTAGCTGTGTTTGAGTTGTGCTTTTGTAGCTGAATTTGAATAAATTTGTCTGAAGTTTTTATGGTTGTACCACAGTTATGTGCAGGAGGACCAAAACTCAAAATAAAATTAAATCATGAGACCTTATAAATATGATTACCAAATAATATCCACACAGTCGAATTTGGTACTAAAGTAGTATCACCTTTGAGCATTTAGTGACCCGATAGTTGTGCTTTTGGCCTTTCAGTATTTCGAAGATTGTTATGCAACCTTATCTTATATCTACTTAAAATAAACAGGCGAAAAAATGTCATGAACAGATTATATAGAAGCAAGAAGCTTTGATTATCTTTAGATTATTAGATCTACTTTTGTGAGAATCCCAATGTTCTTGGTATTCCCTAGTGACATTGTGCATGAAAAGTAAAGGCTTTTGTTTTTAAAAGCAACAAGATGATGCATGTACTGTAAGGAAGTTCACATTTGTGGTTTTTAAGGTGACAAAAAATCCTACTTAATGTTCATAAGTCATAACCAAGGATCTATTTATCTAACAGTTAGGAATAATAGATTTATGAAAAAATATGTGTAATAGGACTTTTCTACTAAAGAAAGTGAATGTTATTTTGAACGGGTCAGAAAAGAACAGGAAGTCATTTCAAGAAACGTTTTTGATTTATCTTTTTTTGTACTGCTATGTTTAACCTGAATATCAATGTCTGCATCCACACTTGTAGCCTGTGTTTGTAACACCCAATTCACTAAAACTTTCAGATCCTCAACGTATATGTAACAAAATATCAAACTGGGGGAACTTATTGGCCTATTGTGCACAACGCAACAATTTTCTCAATGGTGCTGATGCAAGTTATAGCCATGGCAGTCTTTGGACTAAAAAAGTCTACAGTGGCGTCAAGCTTCGTAATTCCGCTGATAATCATGACACTCCTTTTCAATGAGTATTGCAGGCAAAGGTTTCAACCATTATTCATGCAAATCCCTGCTCAGGTATATTTTATTGCTACATTCAGTTAAAGAATATTTTCCATTGTATGCCTCTTATGCCATGTGTTCATTTCCACAGATTCTTATTGAAATGGACCGGCAGGATGAACAAAATGGGAAAATGAAAGAGATCCACCAAAAACTCACAACATCTTATACACAGTTTAAATCCAAATCCCGCACTCTGGGTGATCCTATGCCCCCAAATAATAACTGCAGGCTTGAAGACCTAGAAATTAATCCAGGTTCAAATTTCTAAATGACTTATTATTCTACAATTTCTATTTTTTTGCATGTCTTTTAAAATGTTCTTGACACTTTGTTAGTTATAGGGAAAAGCCCTGTCCATCATCTCTCTTCTTAATGGGTTCAACATACGTTGAAAATTGGAGAATCATTATCAAGTATATGAATTTCTGGGCATTTACATATTGCTAGTTGTGATTCTTCTAACTATTTATTTTTGGAGGAAAGGCAGACGATATCTTGAATAGAAACTTTTAGTATACACAGGAGATAGTTATTATAAGCGCTCCTGGAGAAGCAAGATTTTGAAGTGTTTAGATTATCTCTGTCTCACATAGAGATGAGAAGATGGACGTATTGAGTTTTTGTACAGATGATAGTTCCATGAATAATGAAACTCTCTGTTAGAGTATGATGTTCTTACATGTATAGTTGAGATACTTACAGGTTATTCTATCAGAGGATTTTGTTTATTCTATCTTTTTGCCTGTAGTTTTACATTTCCTAGAAAGAAAATAAGAAATTAGAATTGCAATTCTTCCAATCACTGTAGTCTTGGCAATTTCATGACTTTAATCAACCATTCTGCTATCATTCTAATTGTTAGTGTAGTGACAGCCTGATGTTTGATCGTATAACTGGAACCCCACAGTTAATGAATATCCTAAACTCGGAGAATGGGAACAACAAAACTGATACTCAGTACTTAATGGAGTACTATGGGACTGGAGCTTCTAAAAGCCATCAACAATGGCTTCTGTTGTTATTGTGAACTCTCATTGTGTTGATTTATTTTATATGGATCTTTCGTTTATTTTGATGTACTCATGTTGAATAGGTACTTTGTACGAATTCTTCAAAATACATTAGAATTAATAAAAACTACAACACACCCATAATTACTAATAACAGATACCATAGGCAATTATGGCTTTACAGCACAAAATACTGTAATTCAAGCTTGTTGACATTGAACGATCTGAATGAACATGTAATGTAATTTACCGGGGTTCTAACTGTGTGACGGTAATTTCGTTTGTTGAACACATGCTTATAGAACATTCAGACGTGACTTTGCTTTCTGTGAAGAAACCAGGTTCCTTAGCTTGAGGCAAAATAGCATCATTAGTCAACATCAAGATCACTGTAGGCATATCTGGCCTGTCTTCTGGACATTGTTGTACACATAACAGAGCGACATGGATTAAGCGTAGCAATTCAGAAATATAACGCGAATCCATTAGATGGCCATCAATTAGCTCTAATGGTCTACCTTCTTTATAAAGTTTCCATACCTATCAATAACACAATCAGTACATAATCAAGAAACATGCACCAGTTGATGTGCCTGAAGGATTTAAGTTCAATGCAGTTTAACTATCATTTGTACGAGGTGTTATCAATTAATTATTATAGAGAAATATCTGTAGCTACCATATAGTGCACAAAATTTAAACTCGTCTTTAATTACAAACAAGACTTACATGTCCGAGTAGGTTGATACTGTGACTTTCACGGGCAAATCCTCTGTTTCTTCGACCACTGATTATCTCTAGCACTAATACGCCAAAGCTAAATACATCTGATTTTACTGAGAAAACACCATGGACTACATACTCCGGGGACATGTAACCACTGCATCACATATTAAACAGAAAGTAGTGTAAAATAAAGGTTATTATACATAATATAAATGCTAACAAGTGAGTAGTATTAAATTTCTTACTGTGTCCCAACCACATGGTGTGTATTAGCACCAGTCTCATTCCCTACAACGCTTCTAGCTATGCCAAAATCTGAGATCTTGGGGTTCATGTCAGCATCTAGCAAAATGTTACTAGCTTTGAGGTCTCTGTGGATAATTCTTAGCCGAGAATCTTGATGGAGATACAGAAGTCCTCTAGCAATTCCATTGATGATGCCGAAGCGCTTAGGCCAGTTGAGTAACAAGCTCCTCTTTTCATCTGTTAACAGGTCCTCTGTTAGAACACTGATAATGTGATTAAACTATCAACTTTACTATTTGTACTAATAGAGGTTATTCGAGTTAAGAGAGAGTAACCAGACCAAATATGAAGAGATCTAGACTTCTGTTGCACATATATTCATAGACCAACATTTTTTCTCCTCCTGCAATGCAGCAACCTATAAGCTTCACAAGATTTCGATGCTGAAGTTTGGCAATGCAAATAACTTCATTCTTGAACTCGTTAACTCCTTGCGAGGAAGACTTGGATAGCCTCTTTATAGCTACTTCGTGTCCACCTTCCAGGATTCCCTATAATATCAACATATATCTGGCTTAGTGATTCAGTAAGTGTCATCTGTTTACTGTCAATAATAGTAGATATTATTTACTGAAAGAATGATTCATAAACTTAAGATGTTACCTTATAAACAGATCCAAATCCACCTTCTCCAATCTTGTTCTCGACTGAGAAATTAGAGGATGCTTTAGTTAGAGTTGATAAGGTAAACAGTGGGAGGTCTAGGTCATCTTTCAAATTCATCTTCCTCTTCTTCTTCTTTTTCCAAATATACAGCCCAATGGTCAGGCCAGTCACAGTCACTCCAATCAACAGTAACAGACTCAACACGAGTAGTTTTGTTTTCTTCGAGCCTGAACAAAACATGGAGGGGTGAAATAAACTAAATAGACAAGGAAGAGTGAACATATACTGTGTGAACTTTTAACAGATATCTAAGTAGAATACAACTAAATCTGAGAATTGGGAAGTTTAAATCATTCAGCTAATACTCCAACTTTGATCAAATTCACAAATGTTACCTAACTCTGAGGTAGCAACCCTTATGTAAATGTCCTGTCCTCCAGGTAATTCTCGAATGTCAATTAAGTCGCCACACCAAAGCAAACAGCCACTCCCACCATTGCGTATATCAAGATTTGAGTAAGCCAAACACGAGCAATTCCTCAAGCAAGCGTGCTTGCACTCGTGGAGTGTCATACTCCTATCAAACCATGAATACTGTGTATCTGGTAGCTTTATACCAGAGTACTTGAGAAATCCATCTCCATTCTGGCAATTAAGCGGTTTCCTTCTAATACACCCGCCGGACCAATTTGTCATTGCCCAATTTCTTGGATCTTTAGGCACAAACTTGTCTAAGCAATTACACACAGGAGTGAGTATGTTGTTGCAACTACCATATGAACCACATGTTCCATAATTGTCACAAGTATCTTCCGGTGAAGAAATGTAAACATGCCATTCCTGTCTATTCTCAGCCCACATTGAACGCTGAAGCACGCCGTTATTGTTCATGGTTAATTTGGTCATAACAGAACCTAAAAGCGCGAAGCTGTAAAATGCTCTCTTTTCATCAAGATCCAGTTTAAATGTATAAATAGTATTTTTTGTCAGTCCTGGTACACCACTCCAGCGGAGTCCATTCCATGGTCCAGTACTGTACACCTTAACTTTACCTTTCCTCATGACATCCTGAGGATATCCAGTCGGATCACAATGATACGTATATTCCCCTGGAGCTGGATCATATTCGTTTTTCCATGAGGACAGGTAAAATTCTTGTCCAGTTACAAAGTTCTTACCCATCTTCATGCCTGGTAAGAGTGTATCAGTAGGATAATCAAAACTCTGCCACAGGAACTTCTCAGGCTTGGTATCATTTGCATCTCTTATGACAAGATTCCCCGAGTTCAACAACTGTGCAACTGTATTCTTCACAGCCAAAGGCCTCGATGAATTAGTAGACCACATGATTGTATTAGCAGGAGTGAGAAGAGCAAGTTGTCCTGTATCGATGATTTTCAACATAACACCTGATGTGTTGTTGAATGGATTTTCTCTATTGGCAACCCATACCACAGACTTATCAGGTACATCGTGCTTATACCATATTCCAACATACCAATTATTCGTGAAACTAGCCGGGGAAAAAAATCCCATCTCAAAACTTCCATCAGATGAAGTAATGGTCTTTCCATCTGTTAGAAAGTCAGTTGCAGTGATGATATCTTTCGCACTAGAAATTGAGCATACAAAACCACATAACAATATCTGCAATATAAGCACAAAACTTTCCATTAAGAACTGCTTTATTACATGCTACCTAATCTATGCAGGTTTAGATATCTGGAGGTAACCTGACCTTTTCAGTGTAAATCTAGCTAGTTCTGAAGGCCTTAAAATTACATCAAACTATTTGGGATTTTGGCTGCTAGTTTATAACTAGATTGTATATATTACTTCCATGTCCCAATTTATGTGACTCATTTTCTTTTCTTTTTTTGTTTTGTCTGCAAAAGAATGATACTTTTTTTTTTATATTTTATGTGTTTTTTTTTTGAATTTTAATTCCATCGAAATATCAAGGTCAAGTTAAGTTGAATAAGTGAGTAAGGACTCAGAAAATTCTCACTTGACTATAACCTCTTTAATGTCTTCATCTTATTGACTTGGTCAATCGAGGCTTGCTTGTTTTAGTTACTCTTGCAGTTGTATAACTAATCACCAATGACCTTTGAAAAAATCAACTTAATCTCTATAGAAAAATGGAAAGTAGGAAGAAACTAGCCTTCATCAATGACAATGATGCCTTGACACTAATTTGGTGTTGTTTAATTCAGAGTTTTGAAATTGTGTTTTCTTTTTACTGGTTTCCATCTGGTGTCTGAGCCCACATTGGATTGCTCCATACCCAGGGCTCGAAATGTGTTACCTCACAGCTAGCCTTTATGACACGGCACTGTACTAGTCTAGTTTCTATTATAATAGTCGTTATCACATATGAGGGATTTGAAGGCTATAAATTGCCTCTTCATGAAGCTTACTTAGCTTCCAACGTTTGAAAAGTAGTAAAAGTTTGTCATAAACACTTTTTTGGGGACCATTTTGGAGAAACAAGACAGAATGATATGGCCAGTCCACCAAGATCTGATTGGTTCCTCACAATCACAAAATTTGTCACAGGGTCATTGGCACAAAAATCCCTCTACTTTCAATTTTCGTCCTTAAATTTGATGGTCTTCAATTTTTGTCCGTCAATCATTTTAAGTAAAAATAAGGTGCCAAATTAAATATCTCGACACCAAAATCAAAAATAATTTTTTTGCTTGACATAAGTTTATATTTTTGTATCAATCATATGCCACAAGTTAATCCGTACTGCAAAACTTATGTCGAGCGAGGCAAAAGATCATTAAACTTTTGATGAAATACTACACAACTTATACTGCAGAACTTAATTAATTACTACCAAACTTATGCCAAGCGAGACATTAGTTTTCTAAACGGGAGAAGACACAAGTACCCCCTAGACTATGACCGAAATCTTAGAGACACACCTCAACTAAACTAAGGTCCTATTACCCCCTGAACTCGTTTTTTTTGTAATTTTGTACACCTTTTGGCTTATGTGGCACACCCCGTCACTCCACGCAGTTGAGGCGTGTAGGAGATATTTGGATGCCACGTAAGCCAAAAAGGTGTACAAAATTACAAAAAAAACGAGTTCAGGGGGTAATAGGACCTTAGTTTAGTTAAAATGTGTCTCTGAGATTTGAGTCATAATCTAGGGAGGTACTTTTACCTTTTCCCTTTTCTAAACATATGCAAGTAAATTAGGTTATAGATAAAGATACTTTAATATATAATTTTTTCATTAAATGAGCAGTAACCAGTAGAGACAAAAAATAAAGATCATTATATTTGAGGATAAAAATTAAATAGGGAAAATTGGGGGAAGAATCTGTTATTATATAATCTTTTATAACGGAAGTATTACATTTTCAAAGTGATACTGATATAGTGAGTTTACCCTTTTATCCCTATTAATTATGAAGTGGATGAATTAAAAACTAGTTTTACTATTTTTAAAGTAATTAATTGAGGGTATAATGAGTAATTTTTTTTGTCCTTTCTTGATTTGTCAAAATGAACAAGTAATTAGGGACAACTAAAAAAAGAAATGTAGACAAGTAATTAGAGACAAAGGGAGTATTGATTAAGCACCCAATTTTAGAAAGTAATTACAGATTAAGGGCGTGTTTAGTATGAAGGAAAATGTTTTCTAATTTTCTCATGTTTGGTAATTGGTTGGCTTAAATATTTTGGAAAATATTTTCCAAATCAACTTATTATCCTCAAATTTAAGGAAAATGAGTTCCCCTAAAAAAGTAAGAAAAACATTTTCCAAAATCATTTAGAACCTCACGCCTCAAATTTCCATCATAACTTAATTCTTGGGTATCGATTCCCAATACTAATCGTGAATCCGACTCCTCATTCTCAATTCGAGGCCAAACTCTCGAGTCTTGGATTGAGTCGGGAGCAGATCTCAAGTTCAAATAAGAGGTCAAACTTCGATTTGAGTGTCAGGGTCGAGTCTCGGGGTCAAGGTCGATCTCGGGTCGAGTCAGGTGTTAGGGTCGAGGTCGGGTTGGGTCCGGATCGAGATTAGGTCTCGGGTCTGGGTTGGGACTCAGGTCTTGGGTCGGGTAGGGCCGGTTGGGGTGTCGGGTGTCTCGAGGTTGGTCTCAAGTTGGGGTCGAGGTTTGGTCTCGGGTCTCAGGTCGAGTGTGTTATACCCCATTTTAACCGGGTCAAAATAGTGTATAACATTTTGGTGATTTCCAAATTAATAACTAATTTAAGAAGTCGCCACCTAATTATTACGGTGAATTAGGACACCTAAATTGATTAAAGTTATGTTCTAAAGTTAACTTCATTTTAAGGTCTACTAAACTTAAGATTCTAGGTAATGGTTCAACTAATCTAAAGGGAAGGGATTAGGCATCCTTTAAGATCCATTAAAAATGGTTAACCGGCCGAACTTAAATTTATTAATTAGGCTAAGTGAAAAAAGTAAGAAACAAGTTTAAACTGCTAAGTGAATGAATATATATTATCATTTAAGTAACAAAAATAGTGTTAGTGGGACTTGAAAGAAAGTGATGGGCTAATCCAAATGTAAAAACAATCAATCTGCTAGTTAGGCTTAAAAGAATATAAGTTGGTTGCTTCTTTTGTTTTTATAGAAAAATCCGAAGTTAACTATTTTTATTCAAAATGGTTAGATCTTGTATAATAATATTGTGAGGCTAAACAACTGTAGCTAATATTTAAAATATATCGGTCTATTTAGGAAAAAGTGCGAGTCCATGACCAAAGTTAAAACAAGCATCATTGATTAGTTTTACACTCACGAGTAGTTAAAAGATAGTAGGTAATTGAATTTTATTTTTTTTAGTGTTAAACATGACTCTAGAGAACAATCTGATTGTTTTTAATTCAAGTTATTAAACTATATGCAATTCACTAATAAAGTATTCAAGTAGAGATCAAATATGTCTAGATTGTTATAAAAAAAAGCATCACAACAAATCAAATAATTAAGCAAGCATAAAGGTAAATAATAGGCTAGACAACTAATTTTGTCCAGATAGATCTCTGGAAATAGGAAAAGCGAGTAAATGTTTTATCAAAATACGAGTGGTCAATCCCATGTTCGGTTTATGCAAGCTCCGTATGACGATGGTGTCGTTGAGTCTCATGGTGAGACTCTTCGGCTCCGGTATGTACATGTAAACAAAGATAAGAAAAGAAATAAAAATTAGCCAGCATGTAACGGCTAAGTATCAAAATGAACAATGAAATTTCTAGCAAATAGCAATAAGAAAACTAAAAAGAAAACAGTCATACGGGAGAAGCACAACAAGGATTATAACCATATAACAAATTAAGAGCATCAACTTCATCTCCCTAATATGACAATTTATGGTCTACTTAAATATACATAATCTCATAGCCATGATCCTAGGATGGTATTAAAGAGAGTTTGCATTTAGAGTATTACGGACAAATGACAACATTATTTATACAAGACTACTAATTAATTCATTTAGTTAAAGATGATTAAAAATAGTTCTTTTATATAGTGTATCTATCATATAACGAAATCGTAATCATGATTTCCAGAAGAACTGAGTCAGGGATTTAAATCGTCAAACTAGTAGATACAAAAATTGATCCTAAGTTCATGCTTTTCTACAAAACAAAATAAATAGAGTTATCTATGCAAAGTTTAAAAATACGATAAGAAAGCTAGAGTCAGAGTCATGTACATAAATCATTTATTTGAAGCTACAGACATGGAATATGAACCACAAGCATCAAAATATATAGGGAAAAGGGTTAAAAATGCCCTTCACGTATTTCAAATGGTTCAAAAATGCCCTCAACGTTTTTTAAGGTTTAAAATTGCCCTTTTTTAACAGCTGGCTAACATGGCAAATATGACATGGATTTTCTTTACCCATTTCAAAAAATATGACCCACTTAGTCTAAAAACCAATTTCGAAAAATTTGACCCGATAGGCTGATTGTTTTTTGGGTCTTTTGCTCCCATTAGCTCTAGTTCTCTTCTTTCTTCTCCTTCAATTCATCTGTTCAAAAATTTGACCCGATAGGTGAAAATTGATTACAACCATCTTGGACAACTAATTCTTAGGATTAAAATTCATATAGTAACTCTAAGGAATAGTGCATTCACAAAGGTAGCAATTAACCGAAAAGTTATGCATAAGCAAATCTTTCAAGGGTATTAGTTCGCAGCCGCACAAGACCAGGGAAAACTCTACCACTAACCAAAGATACCAATGCTTTTTCACAACACTCTAATCACACACAGATCCCGCGTGCATCTGATAGAAACTGTGCTCCAGCGAGGTCCAGGCAAGTGCATAAAGGTGTTGGTGAAGATGGTGAAAATAGTGACTCGAGAAGGTATGTAGGCAATTGTTTTCCACCACACTCAAGTGGCATAGCAGAAACAGGGAATGTTGTGAACAGGCAGAGTGAAGTAGACAATTCACATGCTCGAGGTGTAGGGGAAATATCCAGCAGTCATGCAAATGGTGCAAGCAAGAAGACACAGGAGGCGTATACCACTTGTGCTGATAAAACTGAAGAAGATGGCATTCTTCTGGTAATTTTTGGTGTGGCTTAAGCAGATAAAATGGCGCCTCCAATTTGAATATGCTGAGAATGGCGCTAAAATGGAGTTCCAAGGATATGTCATATGTTAGGTTAATATCTAAATGGGTTTGTGGGTGGGTTTGAGTTTTTGTATTATAGATGGGTCGAGTCGTTTAGGATTTTAAAAAAATAGGTAGACCAATAAAATGAAGCCATTTGTCTAATTTAATGACTCAGCATTTGCCATGTCAACAAG